TGAACCTAAATTAAAAATTTGCTGAAATAGTTACAATAACTAAACTCTAAACTTTTCTCCTGGCACCCTTGTTTGCACTAAAATTGCAGCAAATCACAAAATATTCAAACAATTGCAAATAATTGGAAATGTTTGGTGGCAAAACTTTAATTTTTTTTGTTCGATATTTAGTTGCTGTGAAAATGTAATTGTTATTTAAAACCATGTAGTTTTTTTTTATACATTTTCAAAATCATTGTTTGCTAAAATATGTTTAATGTAATTATTGCAATTTTAAATGCATAAATTACGATTAAAACAGCAGCAGCTCATCAGGTATTAAATGACAAATTTTATTTTAGAATAAATGCCACTATTTAAAGTTTTGTAAAACCATATACATACATATGTATATGTATGAACATAAAATACTTGTTCATGACAAATAAAAAAATATTTTATTAGTTGGCACATTCGGGAATTTTAATGGCAGTGACTTCGAATATATATGTAGATTAATCGAACCAGGATATGCAAACAATAATGAATTTTGTTCCAATCGATTGAGATCAAATAGAATCTGTTATATAAAAACATATTGATATTCCCTTAATTTCAAAGTCTCCGGATTTCGAAGATTTTTATCATTTTAAATGAAAACTTTTCTCCATAAAAAATACTATAAACCCCATAACAGAATGGAGCTGAAAACATTAATAAAATAAACAATTAAATAAAACCAACAACATTTTTGCATTTCTATATGTAAATATTAGCATTATTATTTTTTCAATAATTTAAACAAAAAAAATATATAATTGATGCATAAAATTGTATACAAATGATTGGTTGATTCTGCAAAAAAAATCGCATACATATGTTGGTAAATGGCAATAGAGTAGAAATCGATACTCATATGAAATTTATTAAATTTATTTACTTACGAATAAATAAATAAATTTTAAATAAATAAAATATATTTCCCACAACATGAGACGAATTTGTTTATTTTCATTCAACATATTTATAATGTTACTAACCTACAGACAACTATTAGAATACTGTTAATAATTGCTGTAGAGTGAGCAAAACACGTCAATATAAAACGTGAGTATAGAGCAGATTTATTTTCTTTCTTTTGTTAAAATAAAAGTCAAAATATTTGTTTATTTAGCATTTAATGTGATTTTTGAAAAAAGTAGAAAAAAAAACATTTGTTTGAATTTATATTAACACGAGCTTTAAAACCATTTTTAATGACTAAGTGAAATATTTTGTAATTAAACTTGTTTTATAAAGTGTTGTAATATTAAGTTATAATTAATATGAAGATGATTCTAATTACCCTGTATAAGTAGAAGTATAGTAGAGGAAAGGTAATTTGCATGGTACTGGTGCAGTCCCTGTTTTCTTTTGAGATAATAGGAGACCTTGTGGCCCATTGTGATACCCTTAGAATTGGCAATCCCCTAGTGTTGAGAAAATGTTTTCTCTCCCTAATTTTGTTGACAATTTGGTTCTTGCGATCATACTAGTGACGCATCTCTGAGACAGTCCAGATCATAGAAAAAAGCTCTACCAAGATAAAGCAGTCTGTGCTCTTGTAAGGCTGGACAGTCACATAGAAGGTGTTGTGCCAATTCCTCTTCTTCCAAACAGCTTCTACAGTAGCTATAATGTTGGTAGCCCATACCCTCAGTTACAATTCTAATCGAGTTCTTACTAAGAGACAGGAGAGTTCTAGACCTATCCGTTGTCAAAATAGACCAGAGGCTCAGGTGACCACCTGAGTTTCGTCTCACTTAAAGCCCAGTCATCTATCAAATTTGATAGAGTTCCCAGGAGAGTGTGAATATCCCTTTGCGCAAGAGTAAAGTCAAGGGACGACACTTTTTCAGATAGTAAATGACTCTGTTTCTAACACTTTCTAAAATGGGTACTTGACCCTTTGACAATATTTAATTATCGTTTTACTTGATTATATAAAACTACAATACAACTAACATAGAAATAAAAACATCATTAACCTCTTTATTTTCCTCTAAATGTTGTCTTCATAAAAAATTACTTTGAACTTGAATTTCTTGTGATTTTATAAAGCTACCCAGCAAAAACTTATAATGAAAAATAATGAGTTCAAAGCTAAAAAACGTGAAAACGACTTATTCATTAGCATTTTATCTCAATATTTTAAAACGGTGATGACATTGGAGGCAAGTACTTACCACACTAGCTTACAAATCACTATTTAAATAAGTACTTACAAATATGAAATTAAAAAGATGTTTTATTTTAAAAACAAACAAAAAATGCTTACACAGAATAAAGTACTCAAGGATCTGATAATGTATCAGTTATTATAAAAGTACTTAAAAGCAATGCAGACGGTAAGTAGTAGTCACTATAAGAGTAAGTCATTATAGAGTACTTAAAAGTAATGCAGGCGGTAAATAGTAGTCACTGAAATGTAAGTGGTTATGTAAGCCACATCATCATTAGATGACGTTATAAATTACAGTTTCTGCAACGAATTTCATTGACACAGCGGGATGCCAAATAGCTAACCTGTCCGTAGAGGGACAAACACCATTCGTCATCCTGCACTCTCAAACTCCGTGGTCGAAGGCTCCAGCTGTCACCTTTAGTCTCAATTTGTCATTTAACTGACACCTTCAAGCCATATTCCCCAAACTTCTCGTTGGCTACAACCTTCTCCCTTTCAACCACCGATGGAGTGCATACCACCGCATCACCCCAATGCAGAGGCCTGAGCTCATGGACTCTCACTCCCAAAGTAGGGCCAACCTCCTTCACCATCTTATCTACAACTTCCTGCTAAGTAAGCATGTTTCCCTTTCACTACCACCCAACAAGTCTCCATGGGTTTAGGCATGTTCGAAGCAACAACCGAAACAGGAACAGCAGAATCCAACGTGTCTTCTGCCACAGCAGTCATCACCATAGTCTGTTTAAACAAAAACTGTCAGTACGTAATTTATATGAAAAAAAACACTTGGAAAACGATAAAGTATTGGTACTCATTTACTCCGGGCTCCACAAACTTTATTATATATTTCTAGGTTCAGTATTCTAGAAAATTCAAAAAATACCTTCGGAAGATTCTCATTTACTCCGGACTCTATTCGCAATTCAAAAAGTACCAGATAAAGTGTGGAAAAGTACCAAAAGTCACCTTTTATAGGTTCTCATTTAAGCCGGGCTCTACTCGCTTAATTTTATATTTCTATTATATAACATTAAAAATGTCCCAGTTAATGAACGAAAAAGTACCATAAAATCCCCTGTTATAGGTTCTCATATACATGCTACATGCTTAATTTTATGTTTCTAGGGTCAATGTTATAGAAAATTCAAAAAGTTTCGTTAAAAACGCGAAAAAGTACAAAAAAGTCCCCTCTTATAGGTTCTCATTTATAGTATAAAACTCCAAAAGTACCAGTTGAAGAACGAAAAAGTACCATAAATTCCGCTTTTATAGGTTCTCATTTAATCTGGGCCCTACACGCTTAATTATATGTTTCTAGTGTCAATATTATAGGAAATTCAAAAAGTACCAAAACAACGAAAAAATACTAAAAAGTTCTGTTATAGGTCCCCTGTTATAGGTTCTCATATACGCCGGGCTGTATATGCTTAATTTTATGTTTCTATAGAAATGTCAATGTTATAGAAAATTCAAAAAGTTTCGTTTAAAACACGAAAAAGTACAAAATAGTGCCCTCTTATAGGTTCTCATTTATATTATAAAACTCAAAAAATACCATTTAAAGAACGAAAAAGTAATCCGGTCCCTACACGCCTAATTGTATGTTTATAGGTTCAATATTATACAAAATTCAAAAAGTACCAAAAAGTTCTATATTATAGTATATGTATATAATTTTTTAAATGAAGATTTGTGTTTTTCGATATCTCGCCGATATTTGGGGTTCTCTGAAAACTGATTTCAACATACGCACGGAAGGACGGACAGACAGACGGACGACTCCGTTATATATATAAAAACTCGGCATATAATCGGAAGGTGAAGGGTATAAATATACTTTATTTCAACTAGAAAAAAACACATACAGCAAAAATTTAAACTCGAGTTTAACATCGGTTTTGAAGATATATTTAAAAATTTTTAAACAAAGTTAATTAATGATAACCAGGCTAACAACCTGCTTAAAACACACTTGATAAATGTTTAAAATTCTTTATTTTATAACATAATTTTTATGAATGCTTTTATAGTTAACAATTAATATTTCTTTATTTAAACAACTGATTTTTAATTAATTTTTAAGTAAATAAAAATGTTTGTTTATTTTTAATGTTTCAATAAATGAATTTTTATGTTTATTTATACAATTGATTAGTTTTTTTTAATACACTGCATGTTTCGTTTTAATTATTTATTTTTATTATAAAAATTTTTTAAATAATTTCATTTCATTTAAGCTCTTTTGATTTTTGTTTCACTTTTTCTGCTTAAATATTCAAACGTGTTGTTTTTGCTTTGTTTAATTTAATTTTTTCATTTGCTTTAAAAAAATATATATCTTTTTAAAAATTGCCATAATATTTTATTACTATATTATTTTTATTATTTTTCGTTTTTACAAATAGTTTTATTTTATTATTTTTTTTTTTTCACTATTTAAAAACAACACTATAATACAGATTTGTAAGAAATACAAATAATAAATATTTGCAAATTTTCTTTCATCTTTTTTGTGGCACAAACAACAAACACACAAACAAAACGTATTAAAAGATATTTTAATATTTACTTTTAGTTTTATTAACATTATTTTCTTGTATTTTGTGGCAACGCCTGTGGATTTACATTTTCATAAAAGGTGTATCTTATTTGTTGTTTTTTTACATAAAGATATAAGATTCTTTTTTAATTTAGTAATTTATATATTTTTCATTTAAATGTATTTTATATTAAAATTGTAAATATTTTTTCTTAAATTTTACTACATATTTTTCATTTTATATAATTTATTTACTTTTCTCATAAACTGTTTTTTCTATTATATTTTATTTATTCCGTTAACTTTAAGCTTTAACCGACAAGTAACCGACGTAGACTAACTTTTCATTAAGAATCTAATTTAACTGTTAGTTTATATTACAAGGCAAAACGTATTTTCTTCATGCCCGCTTATATTTGCTTAAACTTTATAACAAACATGTTGCAAGTACACTTTCACAGAACATGTTTCGTATCCTTTTTCCTTGCAACATACACTCTTTAATATTTTCACTTTCGTTTTAATATTTTCTTTCTTATTTTCCTCAAAACATTTAAAGCTTATATACAACAACCGGTTGTTAGTTTGACGACCATCTAGTCGGCATTTTCAACACAAACTAATTTCCAATCTGCCAACTTTGTTAGTATTTGCTAAGAAAATTCAAAATTGTATATTGTTGCTTTTTTACTGGCCAACAATATTCATACTAACGGAGAAAAACATCGCACAACATGTTGCATCTAATTTGTTCGCTCACCAGGTTGTGCTGTGGTTGATTGTCGATAATAGACTTATGGGCAATTCTATGTTTATTTTGGTTTTTAAAACCTCGTATTTTTTCAACGGTCAATAAACCAGTTTCAAGTTTAGACCATCGTCTAGTCTATATTCTACTCTATAGTCTAGTCTAGTCTATAGTCTAGTCTAGTCTATAGTCTAGTCTAGTCTATAATCTAGTCTAGTCTATAGTCTAGTCTAGTCTAGTCTAGTCTAGTCTAGTCTAGTCTAGTCTAGTCTATAGTCTATAGTCTATAGTCTATAGTCTATAGTCCATAGTCTAGTCTAGTCTATAATCTAGTATATAGTCTAGTCTATAGTCTAGTCTATATTCTAGTCTATAGTCTAGTCTATAGTCTATAGACTAGACTATAGACTAGACTATAGACTAGACTATAGACTAGACTATAGACTAGACAATAGACTAGACTATAGACTAGACTATAGACTAGACTATAGACTAGACTATAGTCTAGTCTATTAGTCTAGTCTAGTCTAGTCTAGTCTATAGTCTAGTCTATAGTCTAGTCTATAGTCTAGTCTATAGTCTAGTCTATAGTCTAGTCTATAGTCTAGTCTATAGTCTAGTCTATAGTCTAGTCTATAGTCTAGTCTATAGTCTAGTCTATAGTCTAGTCTATAGTCTAGTCTATAGTCTAGTCTATAGTCTAGTCTATAGTCTAGTCTATAGTCTAGTCTATAGTCTAGTCTATAGTCTAGTCTATAGTCTAGTCTATAGTCTAGTCTATAGTCTAGTCTATAGTCTAGTCTATAGTCTAGTCTATAGTCTAGTCTAGTCTAGTCTAGTCTAGTCTATAGTCTAGTCTATAGTCTAGTCTATAGTCTAGTCTATAGTCTAGTCTATAGTCTAGTCTATAGTCTAGTCTATAGTCTAGTCTATAGTCTAGTCTATAGTCTAGTCTATAGTCTAGTCTATAGTCTAGTCTATAGTCTAGTCTATAGTCTACTCTATAGTCTAGTCTATAGTCTAGTCTATAGTCTAGTCTATAGTCTAGTCTATAGTCTAGTCTATAGTCTAGTCTATAGTCTATAGTCTAGTCTATAGTCTAGTCTATAGTCTACTCTATAGTCTAGTCTATAGTCTAGTCTATAGTCTAGTCTATAGTCTAGTCTATAGTCTAGTCTATAGTCTAGTCTATAGTCTAGTCTATAGTCTAGTCTATAGTCTAGTCTATAGTCTAGTCTAGTCTAGTCTAGTCTAGTCTATAGTCTAGTCTATAGTGGATATATATGGATATATTATTATATCAATAAAAAATTGGAAAAACTGCAATTATGCAAGACCTATTTCTTTCAACGTTAAACAAAACAAAAACGGAATTTCCCATATGTATGAGAACAAATTTCCCCTGCAGTTAGCATCAAACCTTCATATCATGTCATATCATATAACTATGCTCACAGTTTTTCCAAGTTCGTTTGACTTGTTTAAACAACAATGATACAACAAGGGGGAGGAAAAGTTTTCCCTGCAACTTGTATTTAGTTAAATATAAAAAATGTCATTACAGTTGTTTTTTCGTTCTTCTCAACTGCGATGTTTTTTTTTTTTGGCGCTATGAATGGTCCGATTGCTAGTGGGCTGTAAAAAGTGACTGTGTCAGTAGTGTTAAAAGAAAACTGACAAAATAAAAACAAAAATTATCATCAAAACATGAATGAATGTTGTTGCTACATAGTACTATATGTTGTGCTCCTTAATTGTTTTGCTACCGTGTGGTATGTGGATTTTATTTTAGTATAACATATGTTTGATTGTAGTTTTTTAAGTGATTATTTTATTTATAGGAATTTCGAAAGATGTTATATAAAATGTTTGTACATTTTGTCGTACACACGTTTATACTTTGAATGATAATTCTTTTATGTTTGTTTGTTTTTCTTTAAGGAGTTAGTAATATCCTGTTATGTTGTTGTTAAAAATCAAAGTTGTTTGTTTATGTTTTTATTAGAAAATGTTTCAATTTAATGAAAAAGACGACTAACCCAGCAAACACATGATAACGAATTGTACTTACTCAACAACTTATCTTTTAATGATTACTTCCAAATCTTTCAAGGACAATCAAACAAATACAACCCGGTGAGATAAATTCTTGGCAAGACTAGCTTTAAAGTCCTGTTCGATTGCGGCCACAAGAAGAATTCCTTTAGAATTCACGTTCATGTGAAAAAGACCCATTTTTCCACTGCCAGTTTAGAATTTTCGCTGCCAAGATTTTCCATTATACGCTCATTTACCAATTTGTTCCAAAATTTTATGTAGACCTCAGACTTTGAGAGTACAGGAAGATCTTTCTTAGATTGCCGTCGACCCAATAGAAAGAAATACTTTCGTTCTTAACCTCTGAGATTTATTTGGACGATATGGTCGCCTTCACAATAGCTTCATATCCCTTACTCGTAAGATTCTGAGTGTATACTCGTTTGATAAAGGTTGTGCTTGGTTTTGTTGATATATTTGAAGACAGGCAGCTGTTTCCTTCTTGAGTCTGCTCTCAGTAATCTGCTCCACGCTATTTGCTATATGGCTTTCTTTATCCAGGGGTTGAGAGAGAATCAAATATAAACTTCCGAGAGTACCGCAATTGACCCTAATATGAGCTTCTAGAGCATTATATTCAACTTAAGTCATTCACCTCCATTGTATTCTCTTTTCTATTATCATTATGATAAAAATACATGATTCGCGAGCTTATCAGCAATGGCAGCAGGTACTCGTATAATATAATATTTTACTTATGATTACTTAAGAGGGTGGTAATGAAAGCATTGGTGGGGGAAGACAGATTCTTTATAACCTTTTATTTAAAAATTTTAAGCGAGCGAGATGCCAGTCCTCATACAAAATAAGTATTTAAAGTCGCATATCTCAGAAATTTTTAGCTCTTATTTCCTCAAAATTGGTATCGACAACTTTTACATACATATGAACATATGGCGACAAAATCGGCGGCGTAGCTATAGTGGGCATGAGGTGTCATACCTCCCATATGAATTAAATACAAAAAATTCGTATATTTGGGAAACTATAGTTAGTTAGTTAGTTAGTTAGTTAGTTAGTTGGTTAGTTAGTTAGTTAGTTAGTTAGTTAGTTAGTTTAGTTAGTCAGTTAGTTTTAGTTAGTTAGTTAGTTAGTTAGTTAGTTAGTTAGTTAGTTAGTTCGTTTTAGTTAGTTTTGTTGTTAGTTTAGTTAGTTAGTTAGTTAGTTAGTTTGTTCGTTCGTTAGTTCGTTAGTTCGTTCGTTCGTTTCTTCGTTCGTTAGTTCGTTCGTTCGTTTCGTTCGTTCGTTCGTTCGTTCGTTCGTTCGTTCGTTCGTTCGTTCGTTCGTTCGTTCGTTCGTTCTTTGTTCGTCGTTCGTTCGTTCGTTCGTTCGTTTCGTTCGTTCGTTCGTTCGTTCGTTCGTTCGTTCTTCGTTCGTTCGTTCGTGTTCGTTCGTTCGTTCGTTCGTTCGTTCGTTCGTTCGTTTCGTTCGTTCGTTCGTTCGTTCGTTCGTTCGTTCGTTCGTTCGTTCGTTCGTTCGTTCGTTCGTTCGTTCGTTCGTTCGTTCGTTCGTTCGTTCGTTCGTTCGTTCGTTCGTTCGTTCGTTCGTTCGTTCGTTCGTTCGTTCGTTTCGTTCGTTCGTTCGTTCGTTCGTTCGTTCGTTCGTTCGTTCGTTCGTTCGTTCGTTCGTTTCGTTCGTTCGTTCGGTCGTTCGTTCGTTCGTTCGTTCGTTCGTTCGTTCGTTCGTTCGTTCGTTCGTTCGTTCGTTCGTTCGTTCGTTCGTTCGTTCGTTCGTTCGTTCGTTCGTCGTTCGTTCGTTCGTTCGTTCGTTCGTTCGTTCGTTCGTTCGTTCGTTCGTTCGTTCGTTCGTTCGTTCGTTCGTTCGTTCGTTCGTTCGTTCGTTCGTTCGTTCGTTCGTTCGTTCGTTCGTCTGCCTCGCCTCGCCCCTCCCGCCTCCGGTTTACCCGCCTCGCATTGTACCCACTAACCTACGGAGGCCACTGGAAACCTTTAGATTATTTCGACTTTTTTATGGGTTACTTTAAAATTCAAATTAACGTTTGCAAAAAACTTCCAATATTTGACACCCACGTAAAAGCCAAAAAAAAAGTATATCTTGGAAAAAATCATTTCCTGTATATTCATCCTAAATTTTATGAAAATTTAACCAGCCATTTACTTATTTACTTTTCTCCTACTTTGCCACAGTAAAAAATCACCTTTAATTTACTAATAGATGATATGGATTCTTAAACGACTTAGCTTTAATAACATTTTTTTGCCACAGTAAAAAATCACCTTTAATTTACTAATAGATGATATGGATTCTTAAACGACTTAGCTTTAATAACATTTTAAAATTCATTCTTTACCTAAATATATATGACAACTTTGTAAAACTTTTACTTTCATTCATTTTAATTTCTCACCTACTCTTTTTCATTCTTTTTTCGTGAAAGAGATATTGGTTTTTATTGTATTTCAAAACATCAATGTTCAAAAAATTAAAAAACACCTCATGGCAATGTACGAGTACTTACATGTACATTGTACATACATACATATGTAGTGTTTCAGTTGAGGTTGTTGTTATTGTTAAAAGTGTATAAAACCACAGTTGAACGTTCGAACGTGCCATTTTGATGTTTTTTTCCATACTTTTTTGCAACTTCTGCTATTTTTTTCTACGACATCTCATTGTTGCATTATATAGAGTTCTTTCTTTGTGGTATTTTTCTTTTCTTTATTGTGTCATTGTTGATGTCAACTTTATAGAAAAAAGAACTTAAATTTATAAAAAATAAGAAATCGAAAT